TCTCGGGGAAACCACAGGCTTCAATGGTTCCCGGTATCCCGTGCCTAGGGATCTGAGTCTCCGGTGATGTTGGTCAACGTACCGGAGCCTTAGCTCCCTTGTACTGGAACCCTACTATGGGGGTTTCCGAAAATAGGGGTACCCTTTTTGGGGGTCCCTTTAAGGGGACTCTCTTCTATTTGGGGTGTAACAAGGGTCCCCCTATTTTGGGAAGTACCCTACTGGGGGGCCTTCATGATTAGAATAGAGTTTTGGGTGGTTTCTTTCGTTTTGGTATAAATATAAAGGGACTATAGGGGGTATACTATGAGTAGATTCCTCCGACCCCTATACTAGGAGCCTAAACCCAAAACCCTAAACCCTAAACCCTAAACCCTAAACTTCAAAGCAGTCTCCTCTCGCCTTGATTGGTTGAAGTGATGGGTCTGGAAACGCCCCCCACACAGAGCAGCTCAGGGAAATCCTTGGCCGCATATGGGCAGTTCTCCGAGCTAGGGTCCCTTTTGGGGGTTTAGGGTTTAGGGTGTAGGGTTTAGGGTTTAGGATTTAGGGTTTAGGGTTTAGGGTAGTTCTCTGAGTTAGGGTCCCTTTTTTAGGGTTTAGGGTTTAGGGTTTATAAGGACCAAAAAAAGGACCCGAATTTCGGGAACCCCCCGCCCAAAATGGACTCCGAACAATGATTGAAAGCTTGGTTTAGGGTTTAGGGCTTTAGGCTTTAGGCTTTAGGCTTTAGGCTTTAGGCTTTGGGCTTTGGGCTTTAGGGTTTAGGCTTTAGGCTTTAGGCTTTAGGCTTTAGGGTTTAGGGTTTAGGGTTTAGGGTAGCCCAGTAACCATATTGGAGTAAGGCTACCCTTTTGGCTTACCTTATGTAAGGGAACCTTGAGATCCCAAAAAAGGGTAAGAGGGTACCACTGGGCTACCTAACCCTGAACCCTGAACCCTAAACACGAAACCCTTTCCGGACGTCAATTTCAACTGGCTAAACCCTAAACCTTAAACCCTAAACCCTAAACCCTAAACCCTAAACCCTAAACCCTAAACCCTAAACCCTAAACCCTAAACCCTTGGGTCCCTAAGGCTGCCATGCGGCGTCTTTCGAGAAGATCCCGTGCTCGCCATCGTGTCAAACACTGCCGAAAGCCTCCAAGTGCTTTGGGTTACCCTAAACCCTAAACCCTAAACCCTAAACCCTAAACCCTAAACCCTAAGTTTAGGGCTTAGGGCTTAGGGTTTAAGATTGCGCCTGGCAACATGGTGCCATTCTTGCTCGTGTGAGCTTTAGGGTTTAGGGCTTAGGGCTTAGGGCTTAGGGCTTAGATTCTACCCGAGAGGATGGCCAAGCCACCCAGGATCCGGGGTGATGGAGATGGAGCCGTCTGCAGCGACCTGTCCATCTTCTCACGTCCCCTAAACCCCAAACCCCAAACCCTAAACCCTAAACCCTAAACCCTATGCGGATACTCTTGTGCATGCCCAAGTAGCCAAAGTAACATACTGAAAGTTGCCCTGCCCCAGGCCTTGCAAGCATAACCCGAAGAAAGTGGTTGCCAGATGCACGAACAACGGACATTGAAAAGCACGTTGGGCATTGCACAGCTGCGTTCGCCTCCCCTGGGAACCCGTCTGGGACCCTTCCTAACACCGGGACCCCCCATGAATCTCTGGGTTCTCTCGGCGCCAAAACGCCCAAGACTCCCTGCCACCCCTGTCTCGGTTCTTCTTCGACTGACGACGCTTCCCACTGAGCAACAGCTGCCTCTCACGTGGTCCCGGCAGGCACGTGGTCCCGGCGGGCAACTTGCTTCGGGTTTGGGGAACCCTAAACCCTAACCCTAGACCCTAAGCCCTAAACCCCAAACCCTAAACCCTACACCCCAAAACCCTAAACTCTAGACGACCCTTGCTGTATGACCGGATGCGTTCCTAGGTTCAATGGTTCCGGAGAATAGTCTAGGATGGCCCGTAAAACCCTCTGAACGTTGCAGTTCCAAAAAACGTGACAGCTGCCTCAAAGACGGAATAGCCCTCGACCAACCCAAAGCCCAGCAGGTCATCGAAGGCGTTGTTGAGTGCAGGCGTAGATGAGCAAGAGGCTTTGAAGAACTCGGCAGGTTTAGGATTTAGGGTTTAGGGTTTAGGGTTTAGGGTTTCGGGTTTAGGGTTTAGGGCTTAGGGTTTAGGGTTTAGGGTTTAGGGTTCAGGGCTTAGGGCTTAGGGCTTGGGGCTTGGGGCTTGGGGTTTGGACATGGCGAGGGCGGACGCAAAGCTTGCAAAGCTCACGACATGCCAGGACAGATGCTAGACGATTCGTGCAACTTCAGACAGCGCACTAGCTGTCAACTTACCTGGCCCTAAACCCTAAACCCTAAACCCTAAACCCTAAACCCCAAACCCTAAACCCTAGATCTTTCATCTGAAGACCAGGGCGCCGAGGGCTTCAGGAGCCCTTCTCCGGCAGGTGGAACCAGCTTGATCACAGGAAGCTGCTCCCCGAGCGTCA